AAGCGTTTTCATACAGAGATTCCCGTTCAGTTCATTAAAACGACGGGAAGCACTTTCGCGGTTGCAATTTTGATACTTCTGCCCGCTTCTATTAGTAATGTTAATATTAGTATCCTTCATAAGTAAACTATCTGCAAGGCTCTTATCGATAGTAGCAGCAGAATCCATGGTATATACTTAAATGGTTTATAATTGCGTTAAACTTTCGCATAAAATAGAAAGAGTGCACGTTTAGAAGAGGGTGGGGTTTCTGCACCGGAACATTATGCTCCGTAAACAAAGCTTATTACATTTTTTGGCCATTGTGTATTAAATAGTTTCCTTTGTACCATCTTTCAAAGTATACTTTCGCTTTAAAGGTCTATTCAAATATTTACATATAGCGCGTGTTCAATCAATTACCGTAACAATTATAATAATAGGCTTAAGCGTGATACATAATAATAATAATACACTTTTAACACGTCTCCGCCATGCAATTATAACACGTCTCACAATAGGCAATTCGCACCTAGCACTTACTCCTTTGCACTTGCACCAGCTCCTACTTACTCACCCCTTAAACCCTTTACTACTAATAATTAAAATATCTAAGTCCTACACAAAGCATTACTTGTGATAAATTATTACAGACACTGACATCCATTGATACTTATTATTTTGCTTGACAAACGAAGCCTTAAATTAAATTTCAAAAGCACAGAAGTTTAAAACCACAAACCATTTACAATGTATTTTAAGGAAACAATAATTTAAAAACAACCCAAACAAAAAAAAGATAGGAATGAATCAGTATAATAAATGATAAACAAATTTACCATTTATTCCCAATTTATTATAGATGGAAATGACATGCAAATGAGCCAATGCATTATGAATAAATTGTTAATAAATCAGTGAAATGAATTGGTAATGAATTGGGTCCATTTACCAACTTATTATAAATTGTTAATAAATCAGGTTAACAAATGGGTAATGAATTTGGTCCTTTTCTTGACTTAGTCAATGAATTATCAACAAATCAGGTTAATCAATTTGCAATAAATTAGGTTCGCTGACCAACTGATTCATTAATGAATTGCAAATAAATTGTTAATGAATCACTAATAAATTGTATTTTTTTCTTCTTCCATAAACCGAAATTCAATGTATTTAATGAATCATTAACAAATCAGGCTTGCCTGCTTATATTCATTTAATGGATTTTGAATAAATGCAGGTTCCAATGATGGTGTCAATTCCGGAGAAAAATATGAATAATAATAATAATAATAATAATAACATATCTTGATAAATTTTATTTATTTTTCTTTTTTTTTTTACAAACAAAAGCTGACTAGATTAATCAAGAACATACAACAAGATTAAAATTTGTGAAAAAATCTATGCCACCACATCATAACATTGAAAACTCATAATGTACGTGCATAGCTCATTTCATAAATATCCCTGCAAATAAAACAGGTAATGTCAGGTAAACAAGTAAAGGGGAATAATTCTGGAAATATTCGTGCTTGCTGTTAGGAATATATTTCTAGTTTTAGAAACTAGGGCTTTATGTCAGTCTGAAAACATCTTTGCCTTCCTTTTCAGTGTCTGTCTGGAGCTACACCTTTTTTATTCCTATAATCATTAAATGTTGAATCTCTATACTGAGGCAATGAATGGCATACTCTGAAATAGAAAAGAAAATTCTCATAAAAAGTATCATATTTATAAATAAAATATCAAAATTTAAACTTAGACTTCTGACATATCACTCTGAAAAAAGTATAATATATTTTTGTTCTATTTGCAATACAATCTGAATTTGAATTTCAACTCGAGCCAAATACACTAAAGGACTCAACCACTTTGGACTGTACATGTTCTATTGAATAAAAACCAGCAGTATATTTCACAAAGTCTGATGATAGATAAATATTTGTTGATAAAACAAACCGGTGAATGTTCGATTTCATTTTCAACAGAGGAATGAACAAATATTTTGTAGCAAGTCCAGTTTTTTACCATTTGCTTCAATTAAATTTAAAACGAAATTGAAAGGCTATGACATTGAATTACTATATGTACATGAACAAAATTCAGATTGAAAAGTATTATTTTTTATCATTTACTAGTACTTAATATTTAAAAAGCACATTGTCGTTTTTAAAATGATTAATATATATGTAGCCCTATACTTACGCTTTAAAGACTCATATATGTCATTTCCTTGGAATGCCCTCGTCCCATAACTAATAGCAAACTCTTCACGATCAAAGAAGCCGTCCATCTGCATTTTATTATCTCCCGTTCATCTGCTTTTTACCATCTCATCAGAGTTGCTGATTTTTACGTTCTGTCCTTTCTTTGCTGCTCTTTTCAGTTAGCTCTTTTCAGTTTTCTGCGAGATAACTAAGTAAAAGAAAAATAGTCTTCAATAAAAAAGAACATCATTTTTCATCGCATTCAAATGTGCAGATGAGCTCAGTGTGAAACAATGCAGATTTATGTTTTTAAAATGAGCTGTACATAGATATCCACATGCGTGCATATTTTAAAACTTGTATCTTGTATCATAAATATTTTTCAATCCAAATCAAATGAATAAAAAAATATTTAATTTAAGGTGGTGCCATTAGGGGGGGGGGGGGGACGAATCGTCACTAAAATGGGGCGAGTCGTTATGGGGCGAATCGATCGTTATCCTAATCTGCACATTACTCCAGTAAATTTTATTTTTTGCCAACTTACATATGATCTAGAAGGTTATTAAAAACGCTATGTAGAACGAAAGAAAATTTTGAACTTACCGTCTATCAGTATACCATCTATCAGTAGTCTAGATGCCTTGATATTGTTTTTTATCCATATTTTTTTGTAACACCACAAGTTTTCATCTTCCAAAATAACCGCCTTTTTCCTATGCATAGAATTAATGCAAACGAAATGTTATTCCTAGCTACTATAGTATTGTATAAAGTTCCTAATTTTGCAGCTGCAATGACAAAATCTGTTGTAAGTTAGTTTGTTTCTGACATTAGTTATATCCAAAAGAAAGAAAACTGTTTGTATGGTAAGTTATCTTTTTTCTGAAATGGCCAAAAAATTTCGTTTCCTATTAATCTTGTTCTGTTGTCGGCTGATAGGGGGCGCTCGGTAGGCTGCAGTTCCCTGCAAGATCTTATCGTTTAATCGCGCGGCTGGGAGCCATGCTGTTCAAAACAATAAACTAACAACAGATGTTAAGTCCGCGAGAGAATTAAGTCTCTTTTTTACGACATTTTACCTTTTTACGCATATACGTTAATCTATTCGACAGTTTTTTTACTGATAATGATAGATCTAATCATAAAAAGCCGTGGGTATGGATCAGATTGCGTATTAACAATAATTAAGAAAGACAAAAACTGATCTTGATCACTCAAAAATAAAATGCAATCCGGTCAACTCGTCCCCTAGTCAACTCGTCCTCTGGTCAACTCGTCACCTTTTTGGTCAACTCGTCCCCTACTTTTGGTCAACTCGTCCTCAAAGAGTCAACTCGTCCCTAATATGGTCAACTCGTCCCCTACGTTCGCTCTATTCGTCACTATTATGTTGTAAATCAATGTCTTTAAATAGTACGTTTTATGTAAAATTTATAATGAATTTGATTGATATCGAAATATTAATAAAATAACGTCTTTTTTACGTTAAATTTTAATGATCTTTATCTAACCCACGTGCATAGCTTTGATGTAAAATTACAAAGACAGGTAAGTTTGCAAACATTCAATTAATGTTTAATTAATCGGAGTTTTAATGATAATTAAAACTAAAATTAGGTCCAACTCTTTGATTTTTACCTCCTCCCTGAATGGATTAAAGACTGACGACAGATTAACAGAAATTGGAAGTGCTAAAAACTTTATGTCGGTGCGTATTGATCTCATTATAGAAGATCGTGTCAATTAAAAACATGATAATTGTTTGTTGTGAAATTGTCAATTGTTTCTGATTTTTTTAAAATTGAATTTCATTGTAATATTATGGTCCATTATCATAGGAGTTGTATAAACATACATGCCTTTTGAAAGAGTTAGTATTTTTTTTTTTCATTATATTTTTTAAATAAAAAATCCGTACAATGATATTTGCCGTGGATATTAACTAATTGAAAACATAAAGTAATTACTAAATATTCAAATTGCCATCTAATAATAAGTAAAGATTAATATTAAATTTCCATAAATAAATCTTTAAATTGATCTCAAAGAGGAGCTGTATAAAACCGAGTTCCAGAATTTCTTGTATAATACAAGTCAACATATTGAATGTATTAATTGTATTTAATTCAACATTTTCACATATTTGACCATACACCATCAAAAACAAAGTCGACATTTGGAAAATAAAATTTTATATAACAACCTTTGGCACGATTTTCACGCGATTTGTATAATTTCTAATTAAAGACACGCGTTCTTTTAATATGTATATACGTATCCAACCACAGAGGCAAATGTGTCTTTAATCCTGTTATCAAATTACTATGTGTTTACTTTAATAACCAAAGGCACGTGTCATGATATATTTAATTAACAACGGGGGGGGGGGGACGAGTTGGGGACGAGTTGACGAGGGGACGAGTTGTCCAAGGGACGAGTTGACCAAAAAGGTGACGAGTTGACCAGAGGACGAGTTGACCAGGGGACGAGTTGACTCTGAATCAATAAAATCTACATGCAAATTAGTTAAACATATTTAACAGTAAAACGAGTTTGTATAATTGACTCTTTTTTTACGTTTTGCGCTGAGCATGGAATTAATAATATGGTGATGCTTAAACTAAGAGACTTGAAAAACCCATATATATTTTCCAGTGACTGATTAAAAACAAGTACGGTAATGAGTAAAGGGAAATTAAAAAAAAATATTTGTATAGTTGAGAGGGGTTTAGTTGTTATGAACAGTAAAACAAAAGGACCTACATCAATGAAAATTTCTGTTATAATTAAGCAAATTATGAACATCTGAAGTACAATGAATATGTTATGAATTGTATTGAATAAATCCTGGAAAATCTCTGATTTTAATGAATCATGAACAACTTGTGAATATCTCAGAACTTTAAAGTGTAATGAATTTGTAATAAATGGTATTAAATGCAGTCGGGAAAAGTTCTATTTCCAATAAATCATGAATAAATTGTATACATTCCAGTTCAAGTGTAATGAATTTGCAATAAGTTGTATTGAATATATCTTATGTTTGTAATCAATGGTTAATAAATCTGACTTTTGTAATGAATCTATTATAAATGGGGCCTTTTCTTTCCAGTAAAAGCACAATTTATTTATGATTCATTTAATGAATCATGAACAAATTGTATTAACAAATCAGGAAAACATGATTTATTCCAGATTTATTCACAATTTTGATATAATTTGTTGATGTATTTTTTTGTTTGGGAAAGCCTAGCAGATACGATGACTATACTTATCAAACAAATATTGAGTTCATTTTAATCATATTTTATTGCCTTTTTCTTTCTAACAGATACAATGTAATCCATAACTAGGAAAAAACATAATTAAATACATTTACAGTTTTTACATGGATGTTGTAGTTGTTTATAAAATGCAAAACGGTCGGACCACTATTTTAACAACATAAGAGAGATGGTCCTTGAAAATATTTATGAAATAAAATCCATATTTTCATTTTCATCGTAAAATTTTACCTTTCGTATTTTCACTTGTATCGAACCCGACCATTTTCTTCTTAATCAATCCAAAACGCAAAATTTTATGGATCGTTAGGTCAAACATGCAAATTCGTTGAATTTATACCCCGGCCGAGTACTGGTTACTACTGACGCAACAACTTGGAGACATAAGGCTTCATTTATATATTTATTTACACTAGTCTTTAAGGATCGAAATAGACATGCTGAAATCCAGTGAAAATAATTGCATAAAAAGATTCATACTGTGTACATGATAAATATTTGGGGCCATAACAGGGGTCATAACTTCGTGGTAAATAGCATAATCGGGACATACCAATGAGATGCAAATTTCCTTTTTGTAGTGATGGTTCCCATAAAGTCTCGTTGAAATAAATCAAACAGTGGCAAGAAAAATTAGCAATATTGCTCTATATGTTTACTGCACAACTAATCAAGAGCTTTCAAGCGTCTGACCGAAACAAGGCGATGATATGCACATCTCCTTTTGTATTGATGGTTCTTATAAAGTTTCGTTGAATAACAGCCAGTAGTTGCAGAGAAATAACGCGGAGACGATTATTGCTCCTATATGCATTACTGCATGACTAATCAAAAGCAATAACTCTGTGATGAAGGGTTTGACTGAAATAAGGCAATGATATGCGAAGGGCAATCATTCTGTGTTGAAGGGTCTGACCGGAACAAGACGACGATATGCGCAGCTCTTCTTGGTATTAATGGTTTAAACTGTTAATTTTGATATTTGATGTTTTAGAAAAAACTTATTGATTTCAATTTTAATGAAAACCTACAGAAAGTTGAAAAAATAATATAGGACACTGGAAAAAAAAGAATGCTAAGACAAATTGGAAAAAATACTGTTGATAAGTCAATACTCCTTCCTTTACTTACTCATTGTTTTATAAGTTTATCAAAACCTTATTAAGTATTATTGAAACCACTTAATGACTTATTTTATAATTTCATATGGGAAGGTAAAGCAAAGATAGAGCAATCAGTAGTTATCAAATCATATATAATAAGGAAGATGGTCTAAATATGATTGATATTGACGGATATATACATTCTCACCCACTTTTTATCTTTACAGATTCTGTAAAGATAATTTCCAACAAACGTTCAAAAATGTTTGTGTGGTCCCTATCTACGTCATTTCCGCCCTGGCATGGTGCCAATATAGACTGGAAAGAAAGTGGGACTGTATGAGAAATCTCAGATATTTATATAATGATATAATTCCTGTACGTAACCAATAAACTTATAATTTCAAATTTTCCATTTAGCTTTTTGCTAAAACAACCAGTGGACGTATATCCATCCATAAACTGGCAATGCATTATATATATTCGACTTTATATAATAATTTAAACTTGCGAAACATGGTATCCATTTCAGCAAGAATTGTGATATTTTCTTCATACATTGTCGAAACATTATAGTTATTACACTTAATATAATAACTTTAACTTGCGAAACGTGGTATCTATTTCAGCAAGATATTCAATTTTTGTAAAATTTCATAGCATATATTTGAGAAATGTGATATCCATTTCATCAGAATTAAATTTGTACAACATTCTTGTCATTAAATTAAAGGTTAATAATTTTTTAAAAACCTACTTGATCTTCTTCTTCCATAATTCCAAAAAACCTCGAATTACACAAATATCTAAAATGACCACTAAACCCGAAATCCTAAGATTATTAATTAGTTTTGATTATTAGTTTAATTGATTTTCTTTTCTGTGAGTTTGTATATACGTCTTACTTTAACCGTTGAAGCATCGTAAAGACTAACCTGGCCGCTGACCGCTGCGTTCCTAATCTGTGGGGCCCTAAAGGGGGTTTATGTGTTGGACGAAATACATATGTTAGTAACAGCAACAGAAAAGCTTGTGATGGCTTTGTATAATTTTGATAAAGTGATTATTACAGGTAAACTGTTTTGTAAACTGACAAATGATAACTTTGTTAAAGATGTTATAAAAGCTTATATGATTTTTACAGATAAACTTTGTATAAATAGTATAAACTAAGGTAACACACGCCGTTATTTTGTAATCATAACTTGTTTGCAGGAAATAGACACTTTTATATTCAAAGTTTTTTATAATTAAGGAATCAGATTTGATAAAGAGAATATTCATCAAAAAGGCGATTTTGTAGATTTAAGTTACTTAGAACAGATGTCACAAGAAACAAACAAGTCATGGTTTACAATATCATAGGCTTGATATTTGTATATGTTATGATTTTATTAATTTCAATATCCTTATATGATCTGTTATATTACGCCTATTTTAATTACATTAAAATAACAATAGGGACTATTTTTATGAAACATTAGTTAGAAATAAAAATGTACCAATATGTCAAGAACAATGGAATTCATATTGTACAAATAATGCTATATATTGGAGTTTAATATATAGTTATGTATTTAAATGTACCAAAGATTCCTATATTCAGTGGATTCAGACAAGAATCATTCATAGAATTTAAGCAACTAACTCATTTTTGTTCAAAATGAAAATTGTTTGTTGTAAAATGTGTACTTTTGCAATTTCCAAGAGGAAAAAAAACTCGGTTGCATTTATTTTGGGAATGTCCAAAAATGCAGCCTTTATTTCAAAATGTGAAAGTCAATATCGATTATTTTGATGATAATTTTTATTGTAAATCATTTATTTTAGGTCCTGAAGTCGACGATTTTAAATATGATATTTTGTTTTTAGAATTGAAATATATATATACAAGGAGAAAATAGACGTTTATACATTTCTAAAGTAAAAATACCCAAGTACTTTTGGCGTATTATGCCTTCATCAGGGGTGTATTACAAGATTTTCAAGAGTTTATTTCAAAGTTCATTCGGGCAATATGTCCATGCATATATAGTACGTATAACAAATAAGCATACAATACAGTCAAATGGTCAAAGTCAATATCATATAAAACATATATCATTAAGTAATACAGTATTTTTAGCAATTACAAAACTTTCACTAATAATATTATGTAAAAATACCCAAGTACTTTCGGCGTAATATGCCTCCATAAGGGGTGTATTACAAGGATTCCATGAGTTAATTTTGGCAATATGTCCATGCATACACAATACGTATAACAAATAAGCATATAATAAAGTCAAATGGTCAAAGTCATTATCATATAAAACATATATCATTCAGTTACACAGTATTTTTAGCAATTAGAAAACGTTATCTAATAATGGAATATACTATCACTTAGTGATACAAGTATCAACATGTCTCGAATTATATTACTTGTAACTAAATACTAAAGACAAATAACATCCTATCAATAAGTGAGTATCACAAAACAAGGAAAATAAATGCATATACATGTAAGTAACAGTGACACAGCGTTTGGACAAACTTTTGATTAACTGTAAAGAATAGTGTTTCGAACATAGAAAAGTTTGATAAGTTTCTTATTTCTATTTCATTTTCTGAATTCATCAATGCAGCAAATTTAGGTATATTTGGTCTTTTCCAAAAGTGTATATAGACAATAAAGTTTACAATACAATACTACATATATATACTGTCGTAATTCATCATATAACAAACAGTCCAAAATGAATTAAAGTTCATCTTCTAAAATTAAACAATTTCTACATTTCCCTCTTATTAAAAGATAAATCACTAAGTAACTTCCACCTACCAGTTTCAATCTCAAATCTATGTGAAGAAACTCTATTCCGGGACAGTGCGATTCTATTTTTTTCAAAATAAATACAGTTTAAGTATTTTTGAAATCTCAAATTTGCAAAAAATACAAACGTACGAGCTCTAGTGGAGTAACTTATTTCTTAAAACCAATTT